TTGTTTTCTAAAGGTTTAAAAATGTAACTTTTGGTGGTTTGTTTATCATTTATAGAAATGAGGTATTACAAACCTTTTGTCATTTATGTAATCTGGGTCTTTCAATTTAGTATCAGAGCGGTGGTTTAAGTGAACTAGATACCAATGACGATATCCGGACTTAAACCTTGTGTCGGTATCATGTAGTAAGTATGTTTTGATTTAAACGGGATATGAACTTAGGAGAAACCTAGGTGGGAATTGGGAATTTGTTATAGGATTCTATTTAATGTTATGTATACGTCGTAACTTTTAGAAAGATGGCCGACGGTGATGAAGCTAGTCACACCCATCTAACGACAATGTAAGAGAAAATGCTCCACACCTGGAGATTTATGATGATGAGGCACCGATATCTGCTCGAATCGAACGTTTGATGCAACATATGACTTTATTAATTCAGCAAACGTTAGCCCAACAACGACATGACGATAGAAAGTCTGAAGTTGATAAAAGTAAAGGTAAGGAGAAAGAAAGGGCTGACACCTCAAAACCCAAAACCGACCGAGTCTCTTTTAAAACCTTTCGTGGTAGCGGTGCTACTGAGTTCTCTGGGAAGGTTGATCCATTGGAAGCACTTGAATGGATATTGAATACTGAGAAGGTTTTTCGTATCACCCGAGTGCAATGTGATGATAAAGTGAATTATGCCACGACCATGTTCCAAAGTAGGGCCTTGATATGGTGGAATGCTACTTTTGCAGCTTTAGGTGAAACTGAAAAAAGAAGGTATGCCTTGGGAGTCTTTCAAAACTCGTTTTAACAAGCAGTATTGTCCAATTGATCTACAAAAATGATTGGAGAAGGATTTTCTTGATCTTAATCAAGGAAAGATGTTAGTGGTGGACTACGAGACCTAGTTCAATCATAAAGCACAGTTTGCCACATGTTTCTTGACTACAGAAAAGGAACCTGTAGACCACTTTATAGACCGATTACGATCAGAGATTCGAGATGTCGTCGCCAATCGTGATATTTCAGAGTTTGAGAAAGCGGTGGAATATGCACGACGGCGCGAACACGATTTGACCCGCTCGGATCGTAATCCAGCTCCGCCAGCCAAGCGACCTCGAATTGAAGGTGCCATATCTGCACCAACACAGCAATTTTCTAGGAATTTCAATCCGAGATACGCTCAATCCCAAGTTAGATCTCGACCTCAATCTTGGTCCCAAGCTTATACCCTTCAGTTAAATGCTCCTCCACCCTGTTTTGTTTGCGGTAAGGCTCATCGGGGCCGATGCAACACTGTTCGCCCTGAAGTTAGATGTCATGGTTGTGGTGAAGTTGGACACGTGAGACCAAACTGCCCGAGGAGGGATATGACATGCTACTCATGTGGTGCTATAGGCCATCGTCAAAGAGAATGTCCTCGATCAAAACTCGAGGAAAGTAAGGCTTCTGTTCGCCGACCTTCTACTAGTGGTGCTGCTCGTCAAAAGGAGGAAGTACCGCGCGTCTAGGCCAGAGCTCTTCAAATCACTGCTGAGGAAGCTCGAGATAAACCCGATGTGGTTATGGGTATATTTCTCGTTAATTCTCATCCCGCTCGTATCTTATTTGATTCTGGTGCTACTAATTCATTAGTTTCTCATATGTTTGCTCGATGTTTAAACTTTGTGCCATATGTGCTTGCTAAATCTTTTTACGTTGACACTGCTGATGGTACATCTATGCTAGCTGATAAAGTTTACAAAGATTGTGTGTTGCAATTAGATGAGTGTTAGGATCGAATAACTCAAATTCTTGGTACTAAAACTTACTTGAATGATCAGTTAGACAGTAGTAGAGCAGCGGAAACAGTATCAATCAAACAGGTAGAAACAGTAAGAACACAATGAAGAACAGATGATGAACACAAAGAGAATTGCTTCAAATGATTTTCAATATATTGAAAATATTGACGATTACAAATCTGGAAGCACACAAAATACAAAGGCCTACGATGCTATTTATACAAGTAAGTAACCGTTTCCTGACACGACCTTAAGCTGTCAAATCTAAGCGTTCTTCTAGAACAAATTACAGACAGGCTCACGTGAAAATCACGAGCAGCTAATAAATCTAAGTAAAATAAAACGTGCTTAAGATAATCTATACATAAGACATTTCTGCAGATCC